GTGTGGGGATGAGGCCGGGGGGGTGCGTTTCAAACACAGTTGTCCAGTACCTACACACCTGCCTTTAAAATGTATATGCGCATCTGTCTCCCGAACTGGGAGTTTTGCTGCTATTTTAGCACCTGTATTCGTATCCGTTACCAAAGTGAGCTAGGACAAAAGAAAACCTACTTGCAGACACTGGACCCACATTGATCTGGTCCATCACAGCAGAGATGTACATAAGTTAGGGTCAACTGTTCTTTTAGACTTGAGCTGATCTTTGAGTATTTCCCAGGGCAAGATTAGACTCGGTTCTGCAAATGAGTTTTCTAAGGAGTTGACTTTGTGAAGAACGAGAGGAAATGAGGTGCAGCCGTGGCTTTAGCGGAGGCCTGACTACAGTTATCCACATAAAATCAGCCTGTGTGGGCTATTCCTTTTTATTTCTTCCTTGGTTGCCTCTTTGATTGGCTCTATAACTGGAGCTCATCACAACATCTCACACTTTGAAACCTTTTCAATCCAACGAGACAAATCTTTCTGCTGAAATTTGCAGTGATGGTTGTCGCTGCTAGTAGCCGTGCACCCGGGTTCCTCGAATACTTTCAGGTATCCAGGTTTCGAATACTTTGAAACTCAGCGGTCCCAGGTACTTCCTCCATTTGCCATACATGTCTTTGTAAATGAAGAGACCTGTAGTCATGATAAAGGTCTGTGTCGGAGCCAGCCCGCTAGTTGTCTCGATGGGTTGAACCTTGCAATCCTCAGAAGATGTGGATTCATTTCCCATTCGTGGGATGGCACCCCAGAGGCTGGGACTCCAGCAGAAGCCAGATGTTGAGCAAATGGAGAGAGAGGAATAATCCACATTGCACAGCTTTGTTCCCTCTGGGCAGTCTAAGGTCAGTGCCGCCTCTGCTTTTGTTCAGAGCCACGGCAAATTAATGGGGCCACATCAATGTGCTTTTAATATTGAATATGGACTAATATTTCCATGTCTGTCTGGGAGACCCTGCCAGGCTTTAAATGCAAGAAAAGCATCCTTTGGCATTCAAGTTGCACTTTCCTTTGGGCACGTGCATGACGTGTGTTTTCATGGTTGGCTTATTGAAATAACTGCCCACAGGACAGAGCTGGGGCACCATCCAGCAGTGGCAGTAAAACACGTGCTAGAATGAGAAGCAAATTAGAGCAGGCTAGTTTGCATGTGGATTTGCATATTTGCCCAGTGGCTTTATGGCGGTTCCCAGGGCCAGCAATTTGATGTCTTGGTTGGGTTGGGAGCTTGGTGCTGTCTCGGGTGCAAACTTAGCATTTTGTGTTTGCAAGATTTGCAGATCCAGTTTCTGAAAGCCTGGCCTGAGCAGATACAGGTGCACCCTGGGGGCCATTTAGATTTTCACAGATATGAAACTTGGAAGTGGGCATGCAGTAGGAGGTCTGGGATTCTGGTTTGGCTCACTGTGCATCTAGCCAATCTTGCACAAAAAGTGAAAAAAAAGAGCGTTTTGGAATCTGGGACACTGATTCACAGCTATAGTTTTTTTCCGACAGCATATCAAGGCAGCTCATACTGTGCCTTTCTTCTCCTTCATCTGTGTAACGGCTACCAGATTCCTGGAAATGACCTCTTCTTCCATCCTCTTCCAAGTGGCAAGTAAACATCAGCAGGTCTTGAAGTCAACAGGCACCCAGGTCTGCATGACTTCACTTCTGTGTGAGCATCTGGCAGGGATGAAAAGAAATCAGGAGCCAAGTACATGTTGTGTCAGCCCACACAACCATCTGAGTGCAGAAGGGGACATCTCTGTGTCACATCAGCTGATCTCAGTAGCATGCAGTTGAATTGCCCCGTTGACAGTGCCAAGGTATTAAAGGCATCAAAGTCAATGTGAGAGCTGGAAGGAAAGTTTCAGCTATCAGCCCATAGAGAGATGTGTTGCAACTGGTAATAAAAGCAAGCGAGTGTCCAACAATCCTCTATTGAAACAGTGACCATTTTCCTATTGTTAAAACATGGACAGTATTAAATCAGCCTGTTTTATATGAAAAGCTTGGATGTGGGTTGGAAGTCCGTGCATTTATCTTATGTGGGAAAGACTGGGGTTCTTTACTGCTAATATCCAATATATTTAAAGGTTGAGCTCCAGATGGGAATCAACACCGCTGGGAAGGGAAACGAGCATTGTTCATGCGTCTTAAAGTGAATTCAGAGTTCTTAACATGACGGGATGGCTTTTGTTTTCATGTGGCCATATATTGCTAAGTGGTATTTATTAATGAAACATTTCACGCAGAGAAATGCACCTGGCTTTGATTTCTGTCTTGGCTGAAGCAAATGTGGAGAACTTTGAAAAATTTGAAATAAAATTTTTCTTTTATTGTGTGTAACTAAATGTTCTCTCTGCAAGAATGGCGTAAGTGGTTTCACGTCAGTGGATGCAAAAAAATGTATGACTACAGCATGTACTTTCATGGTCATTGTGTTGTTGATGGGTGGTGCTTGTGAAAGAAAAAAAGTCATACATGTGGGTCAAAGTGTGCTCTCCTAGGACAGTGTCCATTTGTAGTAAAATCCGTTGGCTTCCATGAAGTTACTCTGGACTTGTATCAATTTAGCCAAAAGTAGAGTGACTCAGCATCTGTTTTACTTCTCTTTCTATAACAGGATGCCTGGATGTGTGCAATTCTGTTCAGTATGCAATGCACACGCTATGGGGGGATGTAAAATTTTAAATCACAGTCATTTTCTCAATGTAATAGATGTTAAGGGTAAGCATGCCATTGGCATTCTCCACAGAATAGGTGACATGCTAGTAAAGCAATATACTAGATATGTGTTTGGCATCGTATAGGAAGTAGCTATCTAGCTAGCTATATAATATATATAGTTAGATAGATACCTAGATAGATAGATAGATATATCTATACTATACCTATAGATAGATATGTTTATATCTATACATATAGATATCTATCTATATATACATATCTATCTATATAGATGGATATATCTATATCTATAGATATCTATATTTATATATTTATAGCTATAGATATCTATATGAATATCTATATCTATCTATAGATAGATATATTTTATCTATATATATAGCTAGCAATATATATCCATATATCCTATACAATGTCAAATATGTGTGTATATATCTATATCTATAAAGATCTCTCTCTCTCTCTCTCTATATATATATACATACACACACACACACACACCCCTATATACATATACATATACATATATGTGTATGTATGTGTGTATATATATCTCAGACATATATGTAGTATATATGTATATGACTATCACATATACTATGCTTTATATCCTGCTCAGTTTTAAGGGACTGTTCATAAACTTGAAGGTAAGCCCATGCAAAAGGCTTTTTAGGATTGGGGCCATAGTATGAAAAGTTATTTAATGATGAGGGTTAGGAGTCTGGGAGCCAGGCTATTTGGAGACTGTTCCCAGCTCTCATTTGCTGCGTGTCATTTTGCTCCGCTGTGGTCACTGATCCATCTGTAGAGTGGGTACAATATAGCCATGCATGTTAGCACTGGATGGAAAACAGGGCTGGACAAATGTAACATTTTGAATCAGGCTAGCTTCGGCTTTTCTTTTGAGATTGCAAAGCACTTTGAGATCCTTTGATGCTGACAAGCGAGCATTATTATACACGGGCTCTTCATTGCCTAATTGAAGGTAATGAGGGAGAATCTGTTATACAGGGAACAGCAAAGGAGCATGCGGTGCAGCTCGCTCACGTGTTAACTGACAGAACGAAGTATGAGATGTTCTCGTCTGTAAGAGCAACGAAAACGGGAGATCTTTGGTTGCTCTTGAGGCTTAAAAAAAGATGTTCAATGTAAGCAATTTAAGCCCACATGTGCTTTATTACAAACGGTGCCAAAAATTTGCTCTAAACTGCGTATTCCAGTCTGCACAACCCAGAAGGTCTTCGTTCTCACAACTCTCTTGCAGTTGTTCCTGTACATAAGCATGCCTGCTTATATGTGCTCTATTAGCAGCTGCTTGAATGACATCCAGGGCAGGCTTTTTATTGAAATGCCACTTGGTTGTTGGGATGAGATGACAAATAGCAGCCCACAGGGAGGCAGCTACATAAGCGGTGATCATAACACGAAAGAGGAATTCAACCTCTCTTCTCTGCAAATCCACATTGGCTTCACATGGGCTTCCCCAGGCTACAACCACGCCTTCCACAAGAGGATACTAGGCTAATCCCTGTTTTTCTTTTAATCATTAACCCCCCCGAAAAGTGCTATTTAACAAAAGCACAAACAAATCTGATGGTGAATCAGGTGGTGGGAAGGGGACCAGCTTCTACTTTCACTTACACCTGTATACAGCATGGGCGACTACCCTCAGGTCACTGGGAGCAGGGTCTGATTCTGCTCGGATTGACCCCGGTGTAAATCAGGATGACCTGCACCACAGTCAGCCGAGTCCCACGGGTGTAAGCGAGAGTAGATCTGGGGGAAGCAGGACGCGTGCCTTTGATGCCGGAGCTAACGGTGCCAGCTTTCGTTTCCCTGGCAGGAGTTGAGACGCATTGCCATGTGAGATTGTTTTCCAAAAAGGCCTGAAAATGCAATCCATTATCTGATATTTTGCAGCAGCTTTTTTTAATTAAGGCTTTAGCTAAGGTTTGATTAAAAGGGGGCGAGTGTTGTTCCCCCTGCCCCCGCTTTTATTTTAATTATTTTTTTTCTTAAAGACTTGGCATGTGCCCATGGCTGTCTCCGCACCATGGAGCTACTTTTCCTCCTGTGTCATATTTTCAGCTGGGCTTCTTTTTTTTTCTTTCTTCCACCCTCCCCTTCCTAGCAGAGGTGCAGATAAATCACCATGGGCTCTGCTCAGCTCGCCTCCTGCTCCTTAGACTAACTTCTGTGCGCGCTACTGGCTGGTGAAGCTTGGAGGGGGCGTGAGCTGCAAGTCTCCGTGCCTGTGGTCAGTAATGAAGACTTCTCTTTTTATACACAGATTACTGAGGAACTGCACAGGGCTAGACTGTAGCTCTTAATTCCCCGACTTTTTTTCATTTTAAACCTTCTCCGAGGAGAATGCAGCCTCTCCACCAGCGGCTTTATCATGAGGTGAGTAAACCCACCCCCCCCTTTTGTCATTGAGGTTTGTTCGCCGCCGTAATGGAAATGTTATTTTTCTTGGGGGTAAAGAAGGGGAGGAAGAAATGTGCTGCTTGCCACATGTCAGTGCTCCGGGTGTTTCATACCTCTGCTCCCGGCATATGCTTCAGCTATTTCCTAGGTCGTGTTTGCTTTAGTAACGTGCCTCGCTGAAGGGCCCTGCCTTTGGAGCCAGAAGCATTTCACGGCAACTTTTTTCTTCTTGCCTTTAATTTTCATTCAGTGTCATGGGGAGCTGCAAAACGCCGCTTCCCCACCCCAAAGGATTTCAGCTCGCCGTCGCATCCCAAGGCTTTGACGAGGAACAGAGTCTTTCCCTTTTCCAGCTCAAACTTCCCATTTCTTTTTTCAGTCTCGGTGCCAGAGGCGCCGCTCCTGTTGGGTATCCGTCCCAATCGCCTCTCGCATCAAGGAGCCTGGGCTTCTCCTGTCAGTGCCTTTGCAAAAGGCGGCAGAGCGAGTCGCTTCTCCAGAGAAATGCAGTGATTTTTCCCACCCCCCTTCCCCTGGGTCTAGGAGAGGCAAGGAGCTACTGCCCTGAGTTCATCTGTTAAAAAAAAAAATGAAGTGGAAGATAGATCAGCTCATCTGCTGAGCAGAGAAGTCTCCTTTGATGTGAACTCTTCCCCCCCCACCACCCTTTTTTTTTTTCCTTTTTCTTTAACCCTTCTCCTCTTTGCTGGATTGCACTCAGGAGAGCGCTAGGGAGAGTTCAGCGTGCGCTTGCACTGCTTTGGCAGACGTGCGCGCACACACGCGCGCAATGACACCTATGCTTTGAAGCAACCCCATCCACAGTTTGCTTTCCCTTCCCGCGGTGCCACCTTCCGGGGGATACCCCTCCCTTGGGAGTCCTCGCTTCGCTGGGGCTGATAAGGTGGCGGCCAGCGCGGTGTCACACGTGCACAAACCTGTTGCACCTCCCCCCCCGGGAACCTGCACACGGCTTGCCAGATTTCCCCCCACCCCCCAGACACACTTTCTTCCATAGGAAAGAAAATGGGTCCTGCCGCTTTAAGGCAGGAGTCACTTTAAGTGACTTTCCATTTGCTTCTTATGGAGAGCTGAGAATTGTGGTTTCCCATATTTCCTTTGAATTGTGTGCAGTAGTTAGAAGGAGTTTAAAAAAAACAACTACCGTATGGGCCGGGAGCTTTTCCTTTGCTGCAAGGTATAGACGGAGGGAAGGGGGAGAAATCCTGCAGATATTTGGGGAAGTGAAGCAGCAACAAGGTTTTGTGGTTTAGTTTGGGGTTTTTTTTTAATTCAATCTTTTCCCAGTGCGGTGTCAGCACATGATTAATTGTCTGAGGGAAGATGCACAGGGGCTGACAGGTCCCTCCTCGGGATGATGATAACTGCCTCTTTTGCATCGGCACCCAGACCGGCGGCGCATTGTCCCTGCTGCTGCGGGGCACCGCGGAGCTCCCTGTCACCCCCGGGTGGCTCGGGGCATTGCATGCCAGGCACGTGCCCGCCGGGTTGGGGTTAGCAGCTCCGACGTGACCCTGGGGTGGGCCAGCTGATGGGGTTGAAAGCCTGCGCCAGCTGGGGAGCGGCACATGCTGGGCAGTGCCCCACCAGATTCATTGGCACTCCCTTTTCCTAGTGTTTGCCCTGAAAAAAAATAAAGCAGCCTTGAAGGGGGGGTTGGGGAAAAGGCTCTGTTTCCTCAATTAACTGGGACTTGCGTTCTCTTGCTGAACGGAAGGCAGCGCGCTCCAGCCTCTGAATTTGCAGCTTTCTCACAGTGCCAAGTCTGGTTATACGGGGACTTTGGAGTGTGAGATTGAGTCACGCTCTGTTAGTTAACTCCTGAAAGGCTGAGCAGCTTCAGAAACACCTTCCTACTCACGCAGAATTAAGGCGCCCTGCAGACCTTTGGCCCTGCAGACCTTTGCGAAGACCTCCTCCGCTCAGGTGCCACCCGGGCAGTGGGGTTTTACCCGGCCTGATGGGGCGCAGTGAGAACGGGTACAATTTTTAGTTGTATTTCAGCACTGTTACTGTCCTAAATGAGAGACGCATCGTTAGCTGGGTTAGTCTGAAGTCGAATAGGTTTGCACCTTAGGGACGAACTGAGGGAGATGCATAGCGCAAGCTTTCGTGAGCTGAACCCCGCTTGATCGGGTGCTGCGAAAAGATGTGCAGAAAGCACCAGAACAAAAATAAAAGCAGCAGAGGATCCTGTAGCACTTTTATTGGTGCAAAAATTCCCATGGGCTCCTCCTTGGGAGTTTTCCCTGCATAAAGACATGTAAAAGCTAAGCGCTTTGACATTGACTTCACTGATTGGATTAGATTATACATAGTGCATTTTTGGATCACGGCACACACAGCAGTGACAGAGATGGCTTTTGCCACTGCAAGCGTAGTCACATCTGACACAAAACACAAGTTACATGCTGCACACTCATCCAAGAAAGAGGGTTAATTCATGATTGCAGAGGACGTGCCAGCAGGCAGAGTGCAGTTGCCTCAACTGCATTTTATCCTGGACTAATTCGAGGAAAAGTGACCTGGGATGTTTAATAATCAAACATCTCCGGGGCTTTAGTTTCACGTCCCGAGCAAAGAAGGAGTCACCGTGGGGGAGACTGGAGGGATATTGGTGGTGAGGGGAGCAGACTGCTGAACCACCGATACTTCTTGCTGCAGCACGTGTTTCGATCTTGGAGGTCCTCCATGCAACCATTGACAAGGCTTGCAAGAGCTGATGAGAGCCCAGCTCACAGGATGCGTTTGCAGGTGGCCTGAGCAGTGCAGCGTGGTTAGAGATGTCCCTTAAAACAACCTCCAAAGCTGCATCTAACGTCAGATGGCGTGGGTCCTGCTTACTCTAGGACCCTGATGGTACGGAAGGAGAAGGCAGGGTAGGTTTGCTCCTTACAGGCTAATTAATCGGAGATGCACAGCACGTGCTTTTATGAGCCCAAGCTCACTTCATCAGGTGCTGTGATAAAAGGTATAAAAGGAGACCAGAAATGAGCACAAGTGGCCTGTAGACCTACTTTGAGGCCTCTCCGTACTGCAAAGAAGAGGGTTTGACACCTGGCATTTTCATCCCACATCCGAGAGGAACCAACAGGTAAACTCGCCTGGTCCGCTCTCATCCCAAAGCCCCTTTGCGCCATGCTGGAAAGCAAAAAGGCCTTAAAAAGGATCCAGCATAACTTGTGTTTAATATACACCTACTCGGAGGAGTACAAAGGGGCTTTAATGTAACTCGATGTCTGCTCAGTGGGACTGTTGGGCATTCATTCGGCGGAGAACTTTCCTCGGGCATAAGTCCAGCTTTTATTTTTGAATCTCAGGTCTGCAGATGTGAATAAAGTCATTGCAGTGAAGCCGCAGGAGTTAGTCCTGATTTACATCCACGGACATGAAATCTGAATACAGCTTCTGAGAACTAGCTCCGATGTGAAGGAAGCATTTTCTTTGATTTGCAGTCATAGTTTCATAGTTTCTAGGGTCGGAAGGGACCTGAGCAGATCATCTAGTCCGACCCCCTGCCATGGCAGGAAGAGCACTGGGGTCAAACGACCCCAGCAAGGTGGTCATCCAACCTCCTCTTAAAAACCCCCAGGGTGGGAGCCTGCACCACCTCACTTGGAAGCTGGTTCCAGACCCTAGCCGCCCTGACCGTGAAGTAGCGCCTCCTGATGTCCAACTTAAACCTTCCCTCCGCCAGCTTGTGACCGTTGTTCCTGGTCACTCCTTGCGGCGCTGGGGGGAACAGGGACTCCCCCAGCGCCTGCTGATCCCCCCTAACCAGTTTATAACAGGCCACAAGATCCCCCCTCAGCCTTCTCTT